TGTAAGCTTCTATCTATATTTCGAGACTTATTTTTATCTGGTATTTAATAATTACTAACAAGTATATAAAAACATGACCTACTTATTTCAGCCACCATGAGTCAATATAACAGTTTTTTTTTTATTCAATTTAAATTGTAGAAAGATAAAATAAATATGTTTTATATACAGTTGGTTTTAAATGTTTTAATGGCGTGATATTGTATCCTACGTAATGTAAATTAAAAAAGAAACTTGTTAAATATTTAAATGCTAAATTAAAAAAAAAAAAATTTTCCAAGTGGGTGTTGCTCTGCTGTACAGTAGGTTACAAGTGTGTCACTGTAATCGATGGTGTTAAATTTGATAGTATAATATAATTGTATAAGAAAAACGATTCTGAGCGAAGACGGTCAGTCAGCCTAATGATATTACCAAGTATATTTGATGATATTATTGTGAATAAACTAATTTATATATACTTAACCTATTTGCGTGAAATCGTCTTTTAAATTTTCATTCCTTAGCTATAAAGTTGAAAATTTTATAAATAATTAACTACAAAAATTATTACATTTTAAATTTGATAAATTTTGTCAAAATTCGAACTTTAATTGCTATGAAAAAAAGCGGCTAAGTGCGAGTCGGATTAGATCACGAAGAGTTCCGTAGCAGCTAGTAACATAAAATATAATAAGTAAATTTGTTCGATGTTTTAATAATAGTGTATTTTTTTTAAATTAAGTTTGGCCCCACATTAGGTCCAGCAGAAGTCTTATCCAATAGTATAATAATTTTACCCTCCCGAGTAAGCACAGTCGGGAACAAGCCCCCCTCGCTCTCTGTGCACCCACTGAAGATCAAGCCACGCCCCGTGGTAATAATTAAAATTATTATTTATATTATAAAGTATTAAAAAATAACTACTTACTAGATATCGTTCAAACCAATTTTCGGTGCAAGATTGCATTGTTATGTACATCATATATTTTTTTTAGTTTTATCATACTCTTATTTTAGAAGTTATAGGGGGGGGGGGTGATACATATTTTACCACTTTGGAAGTGTATCTCCCGCAAAACTATTCAGTTTAGAAAAAAATAATATTAAAAACCTCAATATCCTTTTGGGAAGATAAATCCATAGATACCTCCACGTATAAGCTTGATGAACAATTACATTTTAATTTGATACATTTTGTCAAAATTCGAACTTTAAATGCTTATAATAAAAAAAAAATGTAATCATGGATTTTTAATATTTTTCATCGGTCTTTGAAACAATATATTAGGAACCTTCTTTTCAAGCTTTTTTAAACAAAAAATACAATTTTATTGATATTTATAGAATAAAAAACTAAAAAAATTGGAAAATGAAAATGTCACTAAACAGCTCAAACAAATCAAAATATTTTTAAAATTGCATGGTGTATAGAAAATGCTAATATTAATATTCAGTAAAAATTGCATGTATCTGCGGTAATTTGTTGTAGAGTTACACCAAAAACCATAATCGATTTAGCAAAAAATTGATTTTGCTTAAATATTCCCGTTTTTAATTAATTTTTATTTTGTTTCTACTGGCGCTTTTGAAAACTATTGGGAATTTGAAATGTTGACCCCTCAAAAGTACCAACTAAATTCACTTTCCCATCGAACAAGATACTGAAGTTGAAAAACCGAATCATTATTTCGACTACTAATCGTGTACTCGGACACAAAAATAAAAAAAAACACAGATCATTGTAAAACCAATCCATTGCTCTGCTCATCATTTAAAATAAATAATTCATTAGCTGATGTTAACCAACACAATTTCTGACGTAAATAACTTTTCGCTGTTGATGTGGTGGCATAATCATTTCATTGAATCATACTTTACCTATCCTATGCTATAATTTTGTTTATTTAATTTCTCCAAGAATTTGAAATTGACTAATTAATATTAGGTAAATATCAAAAAATGTTAAGTAAATAATATTAAAGATAATTATTTATAAATTATATTTGTTCGTATATTATTGTTTTATTTATTATAATTTAAATGTTTCAACATATTGCATGTTTTTACAAGTTTTTTATTTATATTAATACAATTTAGAATTTAATTAGAATATGGTATGGATGATCAGTAAATTTGATACGTGTGTTAATTAAGGAGTGGAAGTGATGAGGAGTGGAAATTTATTTATTAGGGATGTTAGAGCAGCTAGGAGGGGGTTTAGTATTAATTTTAGCTCGTTAAGGAAACTTGTGACGATTTGGAGAAGTTGATCGGATGGTGGTGTATTTGCTGTGGCTTCGGCATATGAGGGTTTTTCTCTTATATTATTGTTAATGATACTAAAAAAATCGATCTATAAATAATATATATATTATTATACACATAATTATAAAATGCTATAAACTGGCTATAATCTAGGTGACTAAATGCAGGTGCAACATGTCTCAGTAGCACATTAAATTTTCTAACTCAATAATCGTAAAAGTTTAAAAATAATTGTGTTAATAAATTGTAGGTACTTAAATATTAAAAAGTTAAATATTTCAATGTCATTATTAACTACCTATGTGTTGGGTTACAAACATAACGTCAATATAGGTGCATAAGTTTAATCAAATTTTGTGTGCATAAAAATATTTAATGCTCATAATAAAATTAAAACTCTAGACCCAGTAAAAAAAAAGTATTTAAGAGGGCTAGTGAATACTATAACATTATCATTAGCGAGTTCCATCACCTATACCTAACACCTACACCACCTACACCTATACCTTCGTCAAACATCAAAATACCAGGTTTGTACTTATAATATATTATTATTTTTAAATTAAAATAACAACAATATTCTAAAAATCAACATTACATCATTATGTGTACCAAATTAATATCATGTTTCGTGAATTTTACAAAATGTGTATACATATATCGACCCATAATATTATAAAAAAAAAGATAGATCATGATGAATGTACCTATTATAGTAGTTTGACCCGTGACAAATTAGATAGGTATCATCACAGTTGTACTAGTTTAGCGCAGTAATTAATATGTATCTCCTTCACCTCCGGCCTATATCGTAGTTCTCCACTTCTCGTTGGTTGATTTTGTTCCATGTTATATATGTGTGTATATGATTGACTGCCAATAAGAAGTGGAGAACTACGATAAAGGCGAAGTAAAGAGCGGAGGACGCGTATCAAAATACTGTGATGATACATATTATCTAATATGTCATGGTTTGACCAACAAACGTTTTGGGTGAAAGTACATACCTAATATTGTCATTATACAATTCTTTAAATGTTCTAATACTAACAAATTCAATTCAACGTATAAATATCGGTTAACATAGATTAGGATTAAGCATAAGATACACTATGTTTATTTTAATAATTTTGATATTGTCATAATATAGTGATACGTTACTCACCCTGTGTAAGATAACGTCTTATTATAATAATAAAAAGTCCTTCGATGTTGTCAGGAATCAGTTATTTGTTTATTTCCATCATGATTGAATCCAATGATTGAAAAATTAAAACAAGATTCTACGTGAATAGGTTATATATAAATTACTTTATTCACCTATTAGTATCATCAAATATACTTCGTAACATCATAGGCTGGCTATCCGTTTTCGCTCAGAATTGTTTTTCTTATACAATGATATTATATCATTGAATTCAAATGTAATACCATCCATTATACAGTGACCCACTTGTAACGAACTGTACAGCAGAGCACCTTTTTTTAAGTATAAATACAATTTTTTAATTTTTCAAAAATTGGGTTATTTTTTTTTAGTTTTCCGAAAACTTTTTTCGGAAATGTATTATTTTAATATTTTCCAATTATATTTTAATGATATTTATAGATGATATTTTCCAAGGCTCTGGGGGAAAAAAAGGGTTTTTTTCCTAATTTGTCCGGGTTTTTTATCCCTACTCTTACGCGATTGTCTTACAAATAGGAAATGTTTTTAACGAACATACAATTGTCGGTTTGTTGTATGACACTGTACTGAAACCGCTTACAAAAGTGGCATCCGATCATAAGTCTCATCTGGACGATCGTGAACTAGACAGGCGTGGTTGGTAGGAGTACGTAGGTTAGTCGCTCTAAAAAAAGGGCTATTTCATGGTTGACGTAAGTCACCTGGATGAATTAACCGCCGGCTGCGAAGTCTTCGTTGATCAACGTTGCTGTCAGGGGTGATGCCACTGACGATTCGTATCCTTATCCTAGGACGATTATTGTGATGGTACCTCGAAAACTCTCGTCGTTCGAATATATTTGTGACGATTAACTTTGAGCAGTGCACGTCTTCGTATTAGTCGTTTGTCGTGCAGTGTAGGCTACCTGGGACACGTCGCCGGTGGCGTCAACGATGATACAGTGGCGACGACTGTTAAATCCCTTAATATTTCGTGATGTTTGACCGGTACATCTGCCGTTCAGAATTTCTAGCTCCAGTGTACAGCTAAAGTTTTCGTGGTCGTTTGGTAGTTAGTATTTTTATTGGATCGATGTATCGTCGGAATCATGTTCCTTCAATCTATCGGTTATGGCTGGTGGGTTGTTGTCGAAGGTTTGAATGTTTAAAGTAGACTGACTTTGCTTTAATGGGATGGCTTGGGGCGTATCATTCTATACCAAATGCCTGGGCCTTTATTAGTAGTAGGAAGTTTTTGGCGGAGTTTTTAATTTAATATAAGTTAGGCCTTTCCCATATGCCCATGCGAGTGGTCTTGAGTTTTTGGTTGGAGTTGATTTATTTTGTGTGAAATTGGTTATGAGTATAAGAGTAACACTATTGCTGGATTGCATGAACAATCACTAAACATTTAACGAAGAAATAGTGAGCTAATGGTCCGTTAAACATCATTTAGTCCCATAATTGGTTCATTCGATTTTGTTGAATCATTAAATTATTACATTTTCCTTACAACCCTGCGTATGTATTTTATTCTATTGATAATTATGATAATAGTATGTATTTACATTGTTTTATAGACAAAATGTTTCCGGTGCAATTATTGGTTGTTTTATCAACGATGATTATTATTAATCAGGCAGCAACATTGAACTACAAGAATCTGATATCAGTCACACCAAGTTATGAAGATTATAAGGAGGCATATAAAATGATTAGCGACAAGACAAATTATAATTCAAATAAAAATTCTGAAATCGAAGCTTCATATGATTTTAATACAACAGATTCATATGGAAATATCATAAATTCAAATGAAACTGCTTTACCCATGTTAAAAAGCTTTCCTTTTGATCTTGTTGGATCAATTTTAAGTATTGCAGTGGATACTCTCGGAACTATGTTGAACAAAAAAAAAGATTGAATTTATTATTAAAATAATATAATATAATAAACATAATAAATGAATTAAGTTGAATTGTAATTATTTCCAAATTCCTATATATAATCCTTTTCATATTTTTATTCCACAAATTACAATATGATATTCACCTGTGATAGGTAATATATGATAACCATTACATTTTTATACGCATATACAGGGATCTGTATAGAGGATTAATCGGAATTTCAGTTCTGTTTTAGCAGGAAATTGTCAGAGGTTGAAATGTAAATAAGTGAAAAAACGGTCAGTATAGCTTGTATAAATGACTGAGCTATTTAAAATAATATATCTATATTATAATAATTAAAATGAAAATAATGCGCTATATTGAGACGGTTGGAAAATATTAATTACGAACTAAATATTGTTACCGACGTAACAAAATAAAACTTTTAATGCTTGAATTTAAGTACCCGACCCGGACCAGTTACGTCGGTTATTAATAAGTGCCTATAGACAATAACTTTAATGAATAACTATATATTGAACACATGGGTCATTTTGAAGTACAGTCAACAAACAACAAATTATAAGTAATATTGAGGTCGAAGTAACCAAATCAGGGACTGGAACCGAATCTAAAATAACCGGTACTGGAACCGAAACCTATAAAATATCAAAACCCGGAACCGGATCCGAAAACTTTATTTTAATATTTCAAGTACCGGTACCGAACCAGAATTTTGAAATTAAAAAGGCACTTTTAGGTTCAAAAATAAAATAATTGTATTTATCATAATTTAAATGTATTACTGTCTTGTGTATAATCTATGTAAGATTATATTATGAGTTTTTTAATACTTCTCATACTATTAATTAAACCCACATAGGTATTTAAAACTATTATACTTTTCGGTACCGAAATTATCTGGTTTAATTATCTAGTTTTGAGGCGCAAATCACCATAGGTTTTATATTTTTGTGCAAGGCGAAAATCGCCACATACATATTACTAGCTGATCCCGTGCACTTCGTTTCCCGTTAAATGTACCAACTCTATATGACTCAAACTTTTTTCGGTGTATGGTGTTCTTATTATAACTCTTCTGTTGCCTGGGATAAAAATTCTGAATCGCAGCAGTACATTACCAGGTAGGCAATCTACCTGTGGTAGATCACGGACCCCGTGCTGTTTGTACGTAAGTGTATGATTTACCTCTAAAGTACCAAAGTTATACCAAGTTTGTCATATTCCAACTATGGTTAATTAATTTAATCAGTTAATACAAAATCCTAACCGTACTAATATCAGATAAATAAAAAAAAACCAAATTTAACCATTTTTAAATTAGCCTGTCTTCTTCCCAGAGGTCTAATCTACACACAAACATTCATTTATTTATATATACATATATATTGACAAAAAAAAATAATACAAATCAACAAACATGTCCGATTATTTAATAGCAATCAATATAAATTATAATACACTGTTGCACCACTGTTGTATTTTTTACATCCAGATTTCCGGATTCAGAGATCCAGATTTTCCTAATTTTTTTCGTTAGTAACAACCTTTTCCTGGCAATTACGAACATTAAAAAAATTGTTTAGCCAAATCGGACAAGCCGTTCTCGAGTTTTAGCTAGACTAACGAACATCAATTCATTTATATATGTATAGATTATAGATTATTGAAAACAGAATTATTATTGCGTGTGCCGTCGTTCGAATTATTATATTATTATATTGTACATATTGCCATATTTGTACCATAGTCAAAGGCGTGAATCGCCAAATATTTATTATTGTGTTTTTAATTTTGAGTCGATTAATTTTCGAATCGCCATACATATTATTATTACATATTATGTTAAGGTCGCAAGTCACTATATGTATATCATATTATTATATTTGTTTTTGTGTCAAATTATTTATACATGTACATTTAGCAAGCTGACCAGCCTTGCACCGACATACTTGTGAGTTTTTATACATTTTATTATTGTAGTGATTAAGAACGTACTGTTCAAAAGACGGTAGCTATACCTATATTTTATTCTGTTGGTCCAGGAGGGTCCTATATTATTATACGTATTGTACTGTTTTGGCTTACGGGCCGTGCTTAATTATTATTATATTTCATATTATTGTCCGCTGCTGTGCACTATTATTATATATCTATTGTCTTTTTACCAGTTATGCAGCAATTTAACACTTTGAGTGCAAAGTTAACACCTAAAATGACAAAACTGACAATTCTGACCGGGAAATTTTTTTTGTAACGTGTGTACCATATAACTGTGTATCATTATCAATATACGCGGAACAAATAAACATATATTTTAAGTTGCATATTGAAATTGATACACATGGCGCTCAAAGTGTTAAATACCGTTATATTTTAATTACCATTTTTATATTACCTAAACACAATTATACACACTTTACAAATTACTACACCATATAGCGAAACAGAATTTTCGTGGAGAACCCAAACAATTCTAGATGAGCTATTACACCATTACACACAAGCTACACAGGTCGGTCGGTGTGTGATAAGGTGCGTGTAAACGCTTGGGTGTCCGGGCACACGAAATATAATTGCTTGGTTCCAGTCCCCAACACTTATAATTATGGCTAAAATGTATAACATTAAACACCAAATGGAGTCAGTTCTTTGGTACCATTAATTGTCAGTTTCCGTCTATAGCTGTATTTAGCCGTCGAAGTCATGTAAATTTAACTTTTGATGAATAATTTAAATGCACCATGCCAATAAGATATCATAAAAATGGATTCTCGACATCACTGTACCGAAATGGCCTACTCAAGACGCCGTGTTATAACTAATACGTATTTTGTAAATAATTATCATTGAAATACCTCAACAAAATAATTAACAATATTTTACATACTATTTTTATCTATAATAACATTACTTTTTAGATTTAAACAATTCTAAATGAATGGGGAGTTATTATAAAAATATATTTTATTAATATAACTTTTTTCCTGTAAGCTTTTATCTATATTTCGAGACTTATTTTTATCTGGTATTTAATAATTTATTTTATTTATTTATAATATATAAACGCCAAACGGCAATTCTAAATTAACACATTAAGTTTAAAATTAATAGATATAACAATAATATAATACAAATTCACACAAAATTAGAACATATGGAAAAACACAACATAATATAAACTAAGTGGTAATACCTTAATTTAGTAATGTATAACTATGATACAACATATTTATAAATGATATTATTTAATTACTTATTAAAATCAAAATTAAGATTGTTCAGATTACGAAGCATTCTGTGCAAGGGGTGATTATGTCCGTATAATGTATTGTGAGTTGGAACTTGGAAGAGTGCGTGATTTCTGGAGAAGAAGGAAGGGATACGGAAACATATTTTAGACAGGAGATCGGGTGCATCTATGGTGCCACCTAGGAGCGAGGTTAAAAAGCGCTCATCAGCATCTTGTCGACGAGTTGACAGCATTGGTATACCCAATGAACTACGAATTAAGGAATAGTCATGCATTGGGTGAGGTATCTTCATTATGTAGGCAATGTAGGAAAGAAATCTATTTTGTACACGCTCGAGTCTTAGTTCGTCTTTAGCAAGGTAGGGATGCCACACTACCACACCGTATTCTAATATAGAACGTACTAATGAGAAGTATAATGTGCAGAGACAACGAGCAGAAGAAAACTGACTAGTATTGCGTTTAATAAAACCCAATACTTTTAAAGCTTTACCTACAGTGACATTAATATGGTGCTCAAAATTTAATGATGGTGAGTAATGAATACCAAGATCTTTATAGAGGAAGACACGGTTAAGAGAAGTGCCATTAAGAGAATAGTTGTGGTGGATAGGAGATCGCTGCCTAGAAAACGACATAACATGACATTTGCTTATATTAAGGCTAAGACCAATGGAGTACGCCCAACTTGCAAAAATATCTAGTTCAGACTGTAGGATATGACATTGATTAAGATTGTCTATTTTAAGGAATATTTTTATATCATCAGCAAAAAGAAGAAGTTTAGCCTTAGTGATCCATTTGGTTATCGAGTTCACAAACAGAATAAATAAAAGAGGACATTGAGGTATTTGATAATTGAAGGGGTCAGTATATTATGAAATTGTTAACTCACAATTTTGAAATTATTAAGGAGGACAGTTTTAGTGGTTTAATTATGATGTAAACGTTTGGAACTTTTTAACTGTTCAAATTCTAAGAAATTTTTGAAAACAAAAATTATGTATTTTAAAGTCATAAATAATAATCTGAAATTATATTATAAATTTTATCTGTTCATATGATAACAAGGGAACTAATACAATAACACCTTAATCTACCAAACAAGAACGACAGATTTTTTTAAATAACACCTGTATAAATTTGATATCTCCATTGGTTTCTGAAAAAGGTCTAGTTAATTATTTGAATATATCTGTATAATTTTATTGAACACGATAACCTGGCTGTATACTGTATACAATTTTCGGTGACCATCGATACCGCCTTCGTTGTTTAATTAATAACAGTTTAAAGATTTAACGCTTACCTATAAGTAATTATCCGGCGTAAAGACATAATCTAGACGCGTAAACTAACCGAAAGTTTTCATGTTTTAAACTCGTACATTTGTGCAAGTTTAATTATTATTTTACTACATATTACTTAAATTAATTAATTTGTATATTTAGGAGTATTCAAGATGAATTGCTTCATTCGTGCATGAATATACATGTACATTGTTTGTAATTTTGTGTAATCAACACAAATAGTTATTAATTGCATACTGTTTAGTAAGTAATTTATGATATTCTTGTATTATACATTAAATTTAAATAGTATAATATAATTTATTGTTATAAGGTAGATATTTCTACCAGATTCAAAAATCCTAACTTAATAAACCAAAATATTTATTATAGTACCTATAGAGTTAAAAGGTATTCGTTTTATTACTACCCATTACTATTACTTATTGTTCTAGCTCAATAAATACAATTACAATTATATAATATTAATATGTTTCTCATATAATATATATTTAATATGTATTTAGGGAACGCATAATTTAAAACAGCTGCATAATGTGGATGGTTGTTCAATCATTGAAAGATAATTCTATTAAATATGTGCCTAAAACATGGTACAATAAAAAAAAACAAATGTGTGCATGGCCAATTGCAAAAAATTATTCAAAAAGATTAATTGAGAAAATGACACCTCTACATTTATTTGAATATTATTGGTTACCAGTAAAGAAAATAGGACGATTGTATGGTAAGATTCAAATAATTTGTAACACGAAGACAAACAATTTATATTGATATAAAGGTTAGGTATATAGAATATAGATATATTATAACTTATCTAATAGTTAGTTATCAATAATTATTGGTTTTAGGAAGTTTAGAAGAAGCTCGCACGAAGATGTATTATGCTAGAATTCTAACAACTTTATCGGTAAACCGTGAACATACAAGTACCGATATAACATTGAAAACATCAGAAAATAAAATAATAAAAAGCCCTCCTACTGTAAAATCTAGTAAGGCAATTTTTTTATTTTTAAATATTATTGTCTCTTGGTATCAGGTCTAAATAATAACTTAAAAGTTCAAATAATAAAAATAAAAATATAGATATACAGAGTGTCCCGTGAGGATATACCCATTATATTATATAGAGGGGGACTCATAACCCGGAAAAAAACCAGATTTTTGCCGTTTTACCTATAAACTAAAAAACTTATTGAAAGCCATGAAATGAATGAAAATAAAATGTTGAAAAATCATATTTTCACAAAAATAAATTCTATAAAATGGCCATCTTCGATTGTTTCAAATTTATAAAAAAAATTATTTTTTCAACTTCTTTACCAAAGAATTGAATAGAATTAAAAAATAAAATATGTGTAGTCCTTATCGCTGTGGATCTAATAAAAAAACAAATTTATGATAAATTTACTATCTCAGGAGATATCACGATGGGTAAATCCTGTATATATTTAAATATTTAATTTAGATACTTACAAACCTATTTCATTATAAAAAGTATATACATAGTTCTGATTAAATATTGATTTTAGGAATTGTAGAAGAACCTCGTTCTAAGATGAATTCTAATATTCTATCAAATTTATCAGTAAACCGTGAACATATAAGTACCAACGCAACAAGAAAAACAATAGAAAAGAAAATTACACAAACAACTCCTATTATAAAATCAAGTAAGGAAATTTTATTATTTTTAAATAAAATGTTCTCTTGGTTTCAAGTCTAAATTAGGGACTGGAACCTTACCGAAAAGAACAAGTTTTGGAACCGAAACCCTTTTAATATTAGGAACCGGGGAACCCTTATTTAAATTAATTTAAACACCGGAACTTCACTTTAACCGTTACTTTTACTTTAAATTTTTTTTACACAAGTATAGCACCTAAATTTTAGTTTTTCTGTTAACCGAACAGGAGCTATAACAGTAAAAATAATCTAGGTTCTAGTCCCCCTAGTCTAAGTAATAATAACCTATAAGTTCAAAAATTAAAATAATATACGTATACATTTAGGTGCATATAACATATTACATCTTAATACAGAGTTTTTAATAAATATAATACTAAAGTAGTTATAAAAATTTGGACTTTTTTCATTTATTCACTAGCACTACTTTTTTTGGTTTTTAGTAGCTGTTCAGCATTGGTCGGTAGGTACCCCACTGTTTTCTTATTCCGTGATTTTATTTTGCCTCAAGAACTCTCAATGGTATTATTGTGAGACATAGTGTTAGTGCTTATATCACCTTATTAGTGATGCCTGTGAAATAAATCGAAAATATCTCTCGACTTGCTATGCAACACAACCTCAAGTTGGTCAAAGGATAACCGTCGTATATTCACTCTTAATACGTATTATACATGTTATACGTATAAACCACTATTTAAATTGAATAGTCGTCATCAAATTAAGGTCGTTATTAAGAGTGGATATACGGCGGTTACCATGTGACCAACTTGAGGTGGTGTTGCATAGAAAGTCAAGGGATATTTTTGATTTTTTTTGTCCGAGGGAAACTTAGCGATCGAGTGGCAAACGTGGTCATCACTGACGTGTGGTATACGTATAACGATAGTGAATTAACGGAAAAACCAAAAAAGTGATTTTAGTGAATAAACGGAAAAGGTGAAAAAAAAATTTTTAAAAAGAAAATATTATATTTTTTTTAATTATATTTCATGCGAATAATTAATAGTTGATTTATTACACCTATAATTTATTATGATATTAATTAATGTAACTCTAAAAGAAATAACCGTATAGATTTTACATGACATTTTCACAGAATGTTTATATTGGAATTTTCTATTCAAAAAAACGTTCAAAATATTTTGACAATTTTTGAACTATTTATAGGTAAAAGAAAATTTCGATTTTATATATTTTTTTTAAAATTAGTTTCGATAAAAAAATTAAAATTGTATACAAATTTCCTCATGAGTGGAAAATTAAAAAAAAAATCGATCGTAAATCCACAATATATTTATGTGACAGCCTGAATTAAAATGTTGACAAAATTCATCAAAATTCATAAAAAATGTTTTAAGTATGTCTAAGATTTAAAAATTGAATTTAACAAAAAAAAAAAGTTTTTCAAAAGAATTACAGATAAATTTTTTATAAGCTTTTGAAGTTAGTCATTGGATTTTACGCTTAAATTAACAAACCTACTAGGATAAATTTTCTTATTTTGTTGTCATTCAAAACTAATAACCTTAAGTAATTGACATTTTTAAAAAATATTTATTTTATCATCATTTGCTATTGATTTAGTATATTATATGATGCAATTTTCAAAATATATTTACTTGCTTTGAGTTATTTATAGAAATTTTTTTCTTTGGGTTTAAAATCTTAAAAATTAAATACAAGTTTCCTCATAAGTATAGTATTAATTCCTCAATAATAACAGTTGGAAAATATTAAAGATCCACAGCCACGAATTTTTTTATAAGTATTTACAGTTAAAGATTTGAAAACATTTATCAAAATCTCGACCATTTTCAAATAACTTTGTAGTTAAAAATGCATTAAATGTTAAATTTTTATAGCTAAGAATTGAAAATTGAAGACAAGGATTCTCATAAATATTTCACACTGTAATCAAAATATCTAAAAATCTAAGATCACTGGAATTTTTTGCAGACATTTTAAGTTCAAATTTGGATGAAATTATTTATTATTAAAACCAAGAATAACGATTTTAGTAATTTTTCTGTACTTTAAATATACTATTCGTGGGTGGGTACTTTAAATGTTTAGAGTATATTATAATATTTTATACGCACGATGGATGGACATATTTGAAAGCAATTATTTCAGAAAAAATGAATTTATCCTTAACTGTAATCATCCTAATGCCTATAATAATAAAATAAATTACTTTAATCACAATAATATCAAATATACCTATACTTCGTAATATGATAGGTGACAGACCGTCTTTGCTCAGAATCGTTTTTCGTATACAATGTTTTATCATCATTGAATTTAAATTTTACTTATCCATGACAATGACTCTCTAGACGTCTAATGCACATCAGTGTTATCCACTAGCCCGCTTTTTATATTGTAAAATTTGGATGAAAGATTCATGTGATAATTAGGTTATCAGATACCTATTTATTGTCAACACATTATGTTTAAATTTTTTTAAAACGTATTGATTAATCTACAGGTATACCAAAACAGCATCAACGAATTGAACACGATAATAAGTGTACATCTACTGTCACACGTGTTAAAGACAAAAAAAAGGATGATTGTGGTGGGTATTTATTATAAATAATTAAGAACATTATACTTATAATTTATTTTAGATAAGTAGGTATATTCGTGCCACTGTACAACTGTGCAATTGCATATTGGACCGGTGTTATATAAATATATAATGGCATCCAGAATGGTACAAAAACACCTGGTATAATATTATTATTTTTGGAAATTTTTTAAAACGTTGGATATTCACTTGATTTCTGAAGGAACGATTTTTTTATTTATTGACTAATGTTGTATTTCAAAAACTAATAACCATAGATACTTAAAATCTACACCAAATATGTATGTAGTCTTTCGTTTTCTATAGATGAAAAAAAATCATATAACCATTTAAAGTTCAAATTTTGAAAAATTTATAAAAATTGAATATTTACTAAATTCATTTTGTAGTTAAAAATGTATTAAACGTTAAATTTGTATAGCTAAAGATTAAACATTTAAAAGAAGGTTGAACATGAGTAGTGAAATCTGTAACCAAATAATCTAAAAAAACATATAAACAAAGCTAATATTGTTATACTGATTTTAAGTTCAACTTTAAAGTTACATTTAAAAATATCACATACTTATTAAAACCAAGAATAATTTTTTACACACAATAACATTTTTAAATCCAAAGTTTTCGACAAAAATACATTTAGACTACGGTAGTACCTACTTATGCCTAATAGTGAAATAAATTCCTTAAATCACAAAAATATCATGAAATATAGGCATCAAGCTATTTAGTAATATCGTAGACTCCCAGACCGTCTTCACTCAGAATCGTTTTTCGTATACATTGATTTTAAATCATTGAATTCAAAAGGTACATTTCCCAACCCCCCCAATTTCGAAATTTGATTTTTTTTTACCGTTGGTTTGTAGCCGGTTTGTATTGGTTAATGGTTTGTAATCTAATTTTTTTCGTTTTTAGAAATTTGGTTTTTTTTAAAACAAAAATTTTGATGGGGGGTCTGAAGAAATGCCCTTAATTGGAATTTTCATTTTATTTTACCATTTATTTGTAGCCGGTATGTATTGGTTTGTAATCTAATTTTTTTCGTTTGTAGGGATTTGGTTTTTTTTTAAAACCAACATTTTGTTGGGTGGAGGGCTGGGGAAAGCCAAAATTTGGAATTTTTATCTAATTTACATTTTTTATTCAACTAGGCTTTTACAAACCATTTTTAATAAAAAAAAATCGAATTAAAATTCTTGTTGATTATAAAACTTAAATTTTATAAAAAAACGGCAATTCAATCAATAAGGCTCTTTTATCCAAATTAGATTTTTTAATAAATTATGGTTTTTATTGAAATATGTTTTTTTTTTAAATCCGTTTTTTTATTCAGAATCCGTTTTTTTTATTCAATTTAGATTTGTTTATCTAATTCGAATTTTTTATTCAATAAGTATCTAAGATTTTTATTCAACTTTCCACTTTTTTATCCATTTTAGATTTTTTCTATTCAAATTGCCGTTTTTTTTTTATCCAAATTCAGTTTTTCATTCAATAAGATTTTTATTTGACCTTGGAAAGTTGAATAAAAATCTAATGAGACTTGTTGAATAAGAAATCAGAATTAGATAAAAAAAAAAGTCAAAATTGAATAAAACAAACATTTAAATAAAAACCATAATTTATTCAAAATTCTAAATTGACTAAAAGAGCCTTATTTATAGTATACAATCTTAATTGAATAAAATATTTTTATTCAATTTAGATTTTTGAATAAATTATCGTTTTTTTATTTAACAATTTTTTTTATTCAAATCAGTTTTTTATTCAATTTCGACTTTTTTTATCTAATTCGGATCTTGTGTATTCAAAGTTAATATTTTGTTTGTAAATTTTTTTCAATTAGTATACGATTTTACTAAAATGCATTTCTAATTAGGTATTGCTTGTAAGCCGACAGTAAACTTCTTATAATTTAAAAAATAATAGTTTTTTTTTATATATATATTTAACGAGATAGTTATTTTTCTGTTTGAGAAGTAAAGCGATTTCATCCAATTTTATTATAGTAATGAGCACAATAACATTATTAAATTTAACTCTAAGTAACAAGTAAAGTAACTTAGTTATTTTAACCAACACTGCAATATACTGTTAGCGAAATTTTCTACCCCGGTTATAAGATACGCCACAATGAAAAATCAATGTTACGTACATATTATTTTATATAATAATATACATGATATACAATTCAAATAAGGAAACACGAATCAATAAAACGTATTATAAAAACTGATGAGAACACATATTTAATTATTCATTTCTAGTTTAAAATAAACCAACTTGATTGTTATTACATATATTTATAAATCATAAATAAACTGCATTTAAAAAAGACCAAAGTAGTAGCTATTGAAAATATGTTAGTATGCTGTTTGTTAAAGTGGCTAATAATTAGCTACAATTAAATAACAACTATTTGTATTACATAATAATATTATATTCACAAATCATCGATGGACAGCCTTTAATACCTAAATAATTAGTAACCAACAAAATATAATGGTGATTTTTTATAAACAAATTAGGGCATTTACTCAGCCCCCCCCCCAAAATTTTGGTTTTAGAAAAAAAATCAAATCCCTACAGACGAAATAAATTAGATTACAAACCACCAATACAAACCGGCTACAAACGAATGGTAAAAAAAAAAATTAAAATTCCAAATTATTGGAAAATAAGTGGGGGGGGGGGGCTGGAGAAATGGACCTGAATTCAAATTTAACACATCCATTACAGTGACTCTCGGGACACCTAAATACCTAATGTACATCAAAGTATTATCTACTCACCCGTTTTTTATATTTTAAAATGTTCCTAGATGATACATAATATTTTTATGTGATAATCAGGTTATCAAAGTACCTATATATTTCCAACACATTATGTTTAATATTTTAACATTACATTTTTAATTAAATTTCAGGTATGCCAAAACAGGACCAACAAATTGAACACAATAATAATTCCACATCTACTACCATGATACGTACTAAAGATAATAATAAAGATAATTCCGGTAGGTATTTATTATAAAAAATTAAGAACATTCTACTTATAATACATTTTAGATAATTAGGTATCTAATTTTTAGACTGTTTTTGGGCATTCATTATAATTTCTAAGTAATTTTGTTTATTTAAAGTACTTTTTCATACACTATAACATTTTTAGATTAAATAACCAGTAAGGCAGTAACAACAAATTGGTGTTACATCGTAATCGCGTTTAAATGGTTAAGTTCGTACTTTTGTTTGCTCAAGAATTGTTTTTTGGTCATGTTATATCGTCCAGTCAAATTACGAAAATAAAAGCTGAATTTTAGTCCCCTCTACGAATAGTGTACTATCCTACTTAACGTACTAAAATCCTGACCCCTGTGAGTATCCATTCCCAAATAGGGGTAAAATTAACCCTCTCACTGTTTTCCATATAAATTGTTAACCATCGGACCTACGAAAAAAAATGAAGACAGCAATTATAGGCAATCCAATTAGCCATCGAAATATACTATGTTTGATTCTAAAATTTTAACAAGATAGCTGTATGCACAATTTTTTTTTTAATTTTGTTTTTAAGCACGCCAAAAAACATGACCTATTGGAGAAATTTTAGTCTGAAATTGTTTACATATTATTATACTATTTTTTTTTTTATATATACATGCATTTCCGTAAGCTGTAGTGTAGCTGATATCTTTAGTGACGTAATAACTGTACACTTGATAATACTTACTAATTTCAAACCCATAATAGAAAATAATTTTGCTTGTTGTTTGCTGGAAGTAACCGTTTTCCGGAAAGCGTAATACGTGAGTTGGTTCAATGATTTTACGTTTGCTGATGCTTTATATAATTTCAACAATTACTCTTCTCCCACATGAACAATGTTCTCAGATGTAGTTAATTAAACACAAATAATGAACCATTAATTCTATCTGAATATTTTTTAACTATTTTCAAGTATTTAATGTTCAAATATATCTGACGTAGTATTACACCCACCAACAGCATAGATAAATAAGAAATACAGAAGTTAATTTTTAAATACTTGTTGAAAATGTTGGACGGCGTACAATTTAGAATGCATACGTCCTTTGTCTGGTTTTTAAGTCTATTTGAAAATCATCTGGAGCTTACATGATCAAAATTATAATTAAATCAACGTCATAGGAGGCTATGGCCACAACTTTCTTGTTGTCATTGGATCTTTGAATGTCTGTACGAAAAATCTGTGTATCAGCGTCACCCTCTGTCTGTAACACATTAATTCCTGGCTTTACTAATTTATAGGTTAAAATGTATATTAGCCTCATATTATTACTGTCATTTGATAGAAATTCTTTTAGTGATACAAGTATGCCCATCGTTTATTCTATAAAAATATCCGTGCTCTTAAATGTATTTTGTTGTCGATGCCATTCAAAGGTTTTTATATCAAAATATCCAAAGGTGGGGCATTAACTTGTTAAAAAGTTAAAATTAAATTTACATTTTAGTTGTAAGTTTAACGGTTAACCTATAAGCAAAACGGCAATCCCTTTATTGAAGGGTGGCGGTTTCGCACAAGTGTGTAGGCATTAGAACTGTTATTATGTTCATTGGCAAAGTATAATATAGTAAGTACGTACTAATAATAAAAAGCTTTCGTCAAATTTTTAAATTTAATTTTACTAATGTTTATTATTATTATTACGTCACTGAAGATAACAACTACTCTACAGCTCACGGTACCTAATTCATGTATAATATGTATAATAATGGTATTAATATGTAAAAATATCGGACTGAAATATTTCTAATAGGTCATTTTGACTCGAAAAAATATCCCTAACACGTTAAAATTTGACCATCAAACATGGTATATTTCGATACATAATTGTATGGACTATAATTTTTGGTTTTCATTTTTTTCGTAGGTCCTACGGTTAACAATTTATTGGGAGTAACAGTGAGACAGTATATTTTACCCCTTTTTGGTAATGGAGATGATAATCGTCAGGACTTTCAGCATATTATAGTACACTTTAAATGGGTACCTACCAAAATTTCGCTTTCATTGAATTTTTTTCCGATTTTAATTTTTTATATACTTAAGGCCATTATTATGCGGATAGTATGCATTTTAGATTCTGAGCGGAGCGAGGAAGCTAGGGGTTTTACAATGGTGTTTATTTTTTATATCCTGTATACAAAATTTCTACCAGAAGGAGTGATTCGATTTCAACATATGGTACCTTATATTTTAGCAAATTGGATCAAAATGATACTTCAAAGAGGTCATTTTTTGATTTTCTCTAAAGTTATTTAATGCCACGGGAAAAACTACTGAAAAATTACGGAAAACCGCTTAAAATGGGATTTTAATTTTTAACTATTTGTGTATCACCTTTGCAACGAATAAAAAATTATAACATTATAATATTAATTTAACTTATAGACTATTATAAATAATTAAAAATTTAAAAATCCAGACTGATAAACCGTCTCCTCTCAGAATCGTTTTTCTTATACAATGATATTATTATATCATTGAATTCAACTTTATGCTATCCATTATACATTTTCCCACTTGTAATCTACTGTACAGCAGAGCGACATCCATTTACCCGCTTTTTTAGGTAATTTTCCCTATTTATTAGACCACTAAGATAGACCTATATGGCTATATGAGAGGATGTGAACAAAATAAGAAAATGAAGTGTATAAGTTGGCTAAGATTTGAGAATAAAAGTTGTGTAGGATTGACATTAATTATAGATAAAATAAGGCAGAATATTATGTTTAGATAATTTAATTATGATGTGAGAAGAGAGGTGACTAATAGGTCTCTCAGCCTTTGGTAATAAATGCAGAAGAGAGGAAGATAGATGAAGAGTTGGATAGTTAAAATAGAGAATACCATGATAATGGCTAATGTGAGAACTGAGAAGTGATAGGGGATGGATCTTCTGTAGGTGTAGGCTAACCCAGTGTAGATAAAAGTGTAGAGTGAAGAAAAATAAAAAGAATGCGATACTCAATAATGCTTTTTTTAATTTATTTTTTTATATTTTTAAATATGTTTTTGGTCTAGGTACAGATATCTGATATGTATTATATTATTATTATTTTATTATATTATATTCACAATTAGTGATTTTGTCAATATAAGCTAAACTAATAAAGTAAATTTCAATTAATTTCTATATTTTTAACTAGTTACTTATACAGAACTCATTTATGTTATTTTAGATTTTCAAAATCAGGTTCTTAGTTTATTAACCAAAATGAATGAAGAGATAACAAATTTGAAATCATCATTCAATATGCAACAAGATACAATCAACAGATTGGATACATTTCTTAAGAATACAATTGGCTCTCAGAATTCCAATAAATCATCAATAACATTCAATATGACATGTTCCCATTAAAATCTGAAACGGAACTCCAAAAATTTGAAGAAAAAATTAGAGGCGATAAAATATTTAGAAATTTTGTGGTGATTTTACATTTATTTTATATTTCTTAATATCTATGAAAGTTAGTCTATATTTATAATTTATTTATAATAATTATTAAAATATATAATATACATATAATGTATAGGTAATGTTTAATAGTCACAGTATAGTAACACAATATGTTTTAACTTTAATACAAATTTAGATGCTATTTTCTGCCTCAAATAAGAGTACCCAACTCTAGGCTTCTGCTCAAGACGGTGGCAATGGGTACCGAGTTCCGCACTCTGTGGGCTTCACTTTATAGTTCTAATAACCACCTAGTTTGAATTTTGCTAAGATCAACACCATAAAGCAGTTTTTCAACCACGCCAATTGTCGGGCATGAAAGATGACGACAAAAGTCAATGAAACCTGATTTAATAAATAACGCTTATTTGAAACAGAGTATATTAATATTTATTTTATGATTTATTACACTGCTACGAAAATTATCGTCCAGAATTGATTTGATGAATTAAACTAATTAAAACTAAAAACTAAATTAATTTTTATTTGTTATTGTTTTATCTTTTATAGTATAGTTGTAGATAAATCTAAAACTTAATTTACTCAGTATCTAGCTATATTATAGAAATTAATTAAATAATTAGGATTAATTAAAACATATCAGATAATATGTAGGTACCTATTAGATTCTAAAATAATAAATTTGAGAATTTAATTTTATATATTTAGAATTTAGATATATAATGGTTTTAGCCTTTTATTTAAATATTAAAACATTAAAATACTTATACTTACCTATACTTAGTGTACTTACTAATGAGTAATAATAAATCTATTGAAATTCACTAATGTGTTCCACAAATATCAAATTTATCCATGCTGAATAATATGAATCATATCGTATGATGTCCAAAATGTTTTCTGATGAATTAGCTTCTAAATATTCATTATCTGGAGTCAAGCAAAAAAAGAACTTTTCAAATCTATCTACATACTGTTTATTGATTGGTAAATCAAATTGTATACCTAATCGATATAATATTATATTATATTTTATTCATATAAATATATAACTCGCATTTCCAACAATTTAAATATTATATAACGAAGTCATTATATGCCTAGGTAATAACACTTATTCAAAACAAGAAAAAAAAATTAAAGTGATAACAAGAATTCACATTATTATAGAAAACAATATCACCTATTTGTATTTGTCCTACTATGTTTTTAATGTTTTTATTTTGTGACAGTCGCATCAGGCTTCTTTATCATAGTTCAAAATATGTTTGATTATCGTGACTACGAAGATAGCTTACAGATAAAATTAGAATCTTTTTGTCTTGTATCACTTGTACCATTAATTATTAATTCACCTGGGCATGTACAAATAATAATTATCTCCGTATACATGACAAAGCACCTTTTAATATTATATACATTTTATAATAAGCATTTTTTTATCTTAGACTAAAATAATTTATAATACTAATTGTTGTAAATTGTAATACTATATGTTTCAGATGCCATACAATTTACCCATGGTAAATTAGATAACGAAAAAATTGATGCACCATTTCGGCAATTTGGTTGTCACTTGCGAAGTTTCGTATTGAACAGATCAATAGAAAATTAATTTGAAGTTAATATTATATAGTAATTTAAATTATAATTAAAATATTATATTATATATAGTTACTTTATTTATAAATACCTATGTAATAACAACGAGAAAACATTGAATTTAACTTACGTGACAATTTTTTTTTTTTACAGACTCGTAAAATGAAATAATTTAAATTTATTTTCGTAATTTGAATTGTTGATAATTGTTTATATTTATAAAACATTTGATACAATAATTTTTCATACAACAAAATTAAATTATATTATAATCTTTTACTGAACGTGTACGCACATGGTAATATGTAGTCGATACGTTTAACATAAATTATTAATTAGCATATTATAACATTAGAGATTCATCGGATACAAAGAGGACGGTTGGTACCGTTCGTTGCATCGTTTCTATATTATTATATAGGTACTATATAGGCCATTGAGCCTATTCTTATCTAGCGATATTATTACGGTTATCGCAGTTTATCAAACACATACCGTGCCACCTTGAAATATGTAATAAAATGTTTATACAGTATATAGGAAAAACAAAAATATAATAATAGTAATAAATTGAAGTATATTATAATCTGTGTTATCACTGACTTATATCACTGAATCCCAATGGTATAATTATGTATGACTTATACCACTGTTAATAAGTTATAGTGATAGTTGGTAATACTGCAATGACAACTAACCAAGAAAATAAATATGTAACATAATATTACTTAATTTATGTTCATGTTAATTAGTAATTACCTAGGTTAGTTGATAACTTAACACGTTTATCTGTATCAGGAAATGTATCGTATAGTAGTGTTTATTCTATTAAAACGTATGGTAGTAACCACATATGTGCAAATATATTGAAGGAATTTTCTCAAGTAACAGCACCTCAAGAATTTATGTCCATGGTTCAACATAATACTTGTCATAGAATCATAACACAGACTTCTACCATTCATGAACGTCCAAGAAGATTACCACCAGAGAAACTTATAATAGCAAAAAAAGAGTTTCAAAACATGGTTAAATTAGGAATCTGTAGACCTTCAAAGAGTCCATAGGCCTCACCACTGCAACTAGTAAAGAAGAAAAATCAAGAATGGAGACCTTGTGGTGACTAAAGAAAATTGAACGGAGTAACAGTAGCAGACAGATATCCCATACCACACATACATGACTTTGGTTTTTTGCTTACCAATAATACTGTATTTTTAAAAAATGCAGCACAAACATTTCAACGTTTCATCAATGGAATATTTAGTGACTTAGACTTCTGTTTCGCTTATGTCGATGACATACTAATAGCATCAAACAATGAACTACAACATCATGACCACCTTCGTACAGTGTTCAAACGTCTTCTATAATATTGTTTTAATATCAACTTAGAAAAAAGCAATTTTAATAAACAAGTTGTACAATTTCTAGGTTATGACATATCAGCGAATGGAATAGCACCAAACAATGAAAAAGTTGCAGCTATTCAACATAATATATAAAAAAAAACAGCCAAAGATCTTAAAAGGTTTTTTGGTGTCATTAATAATTATTATCGAAGATTCATACCAAAAGCAGCTGAGCACCAGAACCTTAAACGTTTGCATAAAACAAACAAAGAAATCTTTGATCATCAAATGGAATGAAACATTAGTAGAAGCATTCAACCAGTGTAAACTTTATCTAGAAAACGCTTCATTGCTTACACATCCAGTAAACTATACCACAATAGCAGTTTCAGTAGAAGCTTCTAACTTTGCTATGGGCCCTGTGCTTGGACAAAAAGAAGTAGACAACAATGTTAAGGACATTTGGAAACCATTGGCTTACTATTCTAAGCCTTTAAGTGAAACGCAAAAACAATATAGTACGTATGATAGAGAATTGCTTGTAATGTACTCAGCAATAAAATACTTTCGACATTGGATCGAGGGGTGAAATTTTACCATTTTTACTGACCATAAACCATTGATCTATGTTTATCAACAAAAATCTGATAAATCATTTCCAAGACAAATTTGACAATTGAATTTTATTAGTCAATTTAACACAGACATCCAAAATTGTGTCTGGTAAATTCAATATACCTACAAAATTCTTATCAATGATAGAAGAAATTGGATTTCCAGATTCAATCGACTATGATAAGTTACAATAGCAACAAGAACCGGATGAAGAACTCCAACACCTTTTAAAACCAAATGCAAGTACAAGCTTACAATTAAAAAGAATAGAATATGGTTCCAAGACAACTCATGTATACTGTGACACACGTCTACAGAGTTAATCCGTCCATACGTACCCAAAGAACTTCCGACTTGAAATTTTCAAAATTATACATGAATTAGTCCGTCCTGGTCAACGAGGAACAATACAATTAATAACACAACGATTCGTTTGGCCTTTGATGAAGAAATACTGCGCACAGTGGACAAAGCAATGCATTCAATGCCAACGTGCTAAAGTTACAAGATATACAAAAAGACCTCTGCAACATGTTGAAATCTGGTGTGTGGTAACTACACCAGATTTCAACAGGTTCATATTGATTTAATTGGTCCATTAACACCTAGCAAATGTAACGTGTATTGACAGGTACACTTCGTGGCCTGAAGTGTTTCCAATACCAGACATGAAAGCAGTCAGCAGTCATGAAGGAGTCTGAGAATCCATGCAGTCAAATATAGGATATTTCACCATCACCAATAATTGTAGACCTGTTAGTAACGATCAAATTTAAATATTAATAAGTTACAAAATCTGTCCCTCCACTAACTTTCGATATTTTATGGTAAGCACCATCCCATTGCATTAAATGTAGACGATATTTTGGATAAAACAACACGTTTCGATTATACGAGTTATGAAACTATTTTCGTCATAGTCGACCACTAATTGATCGATTGACATTAATATTTTGGTAACAGTACAAACTACAAACCTAATATGTTCTCCATCGTTTAACATGTTATTGTTACATAGGTGCACTTGTTATCTATACTGTATTAACAGCCTTCAATATTCTAGGGCCATTAACCAGGTGTTTATCGGAGGGGGTACCCATATTGTAAGAGGCCCAGTAAAAATATAGTTGTATATGATCAGTTTGGTACCTATAAAGTATAAATGAACAGAAAATTGGACCAAGTAAAAATGTATCAGCAGTAGATAAAATCATAATAATATTTTATTTAAAATCAAATCGATCGGCCCGGACACTTGATAATACTTAATGGAGCCCGTTATTGGACCCAACTCGGGTTATTGGTACTCGCAGTATCCCTGGTAGTTAAGTTACTGATTTACTATGCCATTTACATAATTCCACATAGGAGATATGTAAAACTGTATAATCAAATCGTCACGTAGCTTTAATGCTTCCAACGCTGATGTTGCGCCGCCAAGGAAGTCGTTGATATAAAAATCTTAATTCAAGGCACGATAAAAGCTTTGTGATATGTTTAACATTTCCTCAAGGATTTTCACCACCATTAATACGTACAAACACACGACGTTGTCGAATGAGCAGTAGGAAGCGGTCATCACATGCACATATGTACACACACACATGTACTGTAGTATTATGTATATTATGTATACATTATACACAATAAATATTGAAGTAGAATACATTTGCATTTTAACAATAACGGTTAGAAGTAGTGACCGATAAATAAGAAAACCATCCTGCCGTGTAGCTATCTTCATAGTACATGAATGACTGGTTCGTTGTCATTACGTATAAAAGAAATGCATTTCTAATATCGTGGTCGTATCTTTCTTTCTTTTCGTACCCCCTTTGTACCTCTTTGTACTTTATTTTCATTAATTCCATATTTTTATTCTACAACAAATATTTAAACAGTACCGTAGTCTGGTTATTTTATCCGCACACAACATTTTGACACTATTAAATAAAGATAATATTACAATATACAGAATCGTTTTTCGTAATACAATGATTTATATCATTAAATTCAAATTTAACACATCTATTACAGTAACTCTCTAGACACTTAATGTACAGCAGAGCGTTACCCACTTATCGGTTTTTTTTGTATATTCAAATGCATAATTTGGATTTTTTTATAAATTAAATTAAGTTTGAAGATGTTGAATTGATTCCGCTTATTTACAAATTATTATTTATTTTTTTTTTTTATTATAAGGTTACATTTTACGAAATTGGATAAGAAAATATAAAGAAAATAATGGTATGCATTGCGTGTAACAACGAATGAAATATTACCTTATACCTATATTTGTATACCTTATTATTTAAGTAGTAGATAAACGTCATATTTGTATCTATATTCACAGTCTATTTGTTTTTTTCACATCAGTTATCACAACATATCCATGCGGAAATGTCTTTCTCAAAATACAGTTATATTTTATCTATTACACATTGCATATAGTTGTTTTTCATCAATTTTCACTTACATAAAAATATTTACCGTATTTCATTATGCAGAGAGGTTCACAATATTTCTCCACTATATTCCCCCCCTACAGAAAATATTTACCATATTATTTTAAAATTACAGGAAAATGACACCCTCGAAATTGTTTCGAAAAAATTTACTATACATACAACTGTACTTTGTTTTTTATCTTGTTTAAACTACTTTATGTTATCCAAACCTTTCTATAAAAACTAAAATAATTATTTCAAGTAATAGAACAAAAAATTGTTTGAATAATTTTTTTATAATAATATAATAATATTTATAATTATTGTTCTTAGTTAATTCTAAATTATTTAAAGAATATAAAATAAAATGTGCATCCGATAAATAATTTTGAGTGAGTGGCAAAACCAATCGAGTGTGCAATCTCCCAGTAAAGTTTAATACAGCAAAATCAATGTTCTTTGAGAGAAACATTCCAGCTTGGACATAGTGTAATTACAGTGAGGGGATAAAATAATTAGACTGTGAATATACAGTTATAAACGATATACCTACTACGTATTTAGAGTAAATAATCAATAATTAGTTTCTTAACATAGGTACTCCTGATTGTGATATAAAAGCTGATCCTATGTTAAAATAAGTTCAAAAATTATATCTCGAAATAAAAGTATAGTTAAAAATATTTAATTATTTAAACTTTGAGTAGAAAACAATATCCAGTAGTTTTACAACGATATTATGATACAGTATATTTATTTGTATTGTACCTACTGTAAAAGAACAAAACCACTGTTGTACTACTTGTACTTGATACAAATTGTATTTAGTTTTCATTATTCACCATTTTTAAATTATCTATATTAAAATTTTTAGTAATTATCTAATAATTATAATGAATCTAAATATGTTAAAATCACAAAAATATAACCTTCAAAGTCAAAATCGCCAAAGATAAACAGCGAAAATAAAAATTGTGACATTTTTTTATTTTTTATACATTATTTTATAGTACATTAATTATACATTTATCTCGTAAGTTAGGAAAATAAATATCTAATAGAATTTTTTACATTACTATTTTCACTGTTAAAACATTTCATGATATAAACTGGTATCCAATATTTAATACGATAATTATTTAAGCATACATTATATGGTTGTTATTCTCATATGATAAGATAAACATATGATATCTGTATGTATTTGAATATATGTTATTAGATGAGACTTTTGATTAAAAATATTTCTCGCAAACTTCGCATGGAAATTACTTTTTTTCCGGATGTGTTAACATTTGTGTTATTATGAGAGACTTTTTGTCTAAAGAATTTCTTGAAAACTTTGTGATAACATAATAAAATAACGTCTGTTCGGTATGAGTTCAATTTCATATTTCTAAGAAAGACGTTTGACTAAAACTTTTTTTGCGACCACCACACAAAAATAACTTATTCCCTGGTATGTTTTGTGTGTAGGTATTGTTAAAAGAATAATTTAAAAAAGTAATTTATTTTATTATTAGACAATAGACATACATATTATAATATAGGATCGAAACTATTCCAATATCATCGTCTAGTGACAAATTAAATATTTATTACAACACAATATTATATTATTAATTATTATACAATAATACCTACTTCACATTTTATAATACTATAAATATTGATATTATATTACTATAAAATTCAGTTCATAGTGTTTTTTATGCAATAATTGCAATATTTTTTCTTCTCATCATCAATTGAGCACACTCTGCGAAATAAAATAAATATTTACAGTAAAATATCACAGTACATTAGGTTAATTCCTAATATTATAGAAATTGCCTTACTTTTTGTACAGAAGCACTGTCTAGCGCTGGTGCGCTTTGATCGTGGAAATTACATTAATTCTGAAACAATTACGTTTAAAACAAGTTTATGTAACTTATTTTTACAATTACAAATACGATTTAAGGATAACATCTAGTAGAATTAATTATTCAATATCCATACTGAGTACTATTATATGTTTGACTACAACTTATAAATAACAAATAGTATATTAGACTAAACAGTAAGTAAAAACTAAAATTAAATTATTGCAATCTTACCATTGAAAAATAAAAACTATTAGTGTTTATGTATATATTCTAACATTTACTTTGCAATATATTCTTAAAAATATTATAATAAGTTCTGTGATTTTACATTTATTGGTAATTATATATTTTACTCGGTAACAATATTATCATACTTTGATGTAATTGAACAAACCATACGAAAGTAGTGCACCCAAAATGCCTATACATAACGCCGTGTGATCATAATATTATGTTACTATTGAAATGCATTCAAAAAAAAAATATGAAAGCATAATACTATTACGAAATGTTGGGGAAATAAACCTACAATTAGGATACCAATGTCAAGACGAAATAAGGGAAAGCCACTTTGAAAACATGCGTTGAGAATAACTTAAGTACAGCATCAAAGTTACTTGTTAATACCTATTATTATAATAGTATATAATGTTTTT